AGCCAATGGGAAGGGTAGCGGTCGTACGCCAATTACCATGTTTCTCTTTTATTAGATAGGATACCTTAGCCAGTTGAAAGATAATTATGATTCTTTTCAGCCTGACAAGGATTAAGCATTTCCATTTGATATTATCTCTCCTTTTCCTTCCTAACTAGAATAGGTGTGCTAGAAATTGAATGTGTGTGTGCCTCCCCCACCCCATTCATATTCTGAAATCTAATTCCCAATGTAATGGTATTTAGGAGGTCAGGCTGTTGGGAGGTCATGAGGTCATGAGGGTAAAGCCCTCATGAATGGGATTAGTGTCTTTATATACTAGCAAGAGACACCGTTACCCCTACAGCCAAGTGAGGACACAGCAAAAAGATAACAGTCTGTGAACTAGGGAAGTGAGCCCCTCACTAGACACTGAATCTACCAGAGCTTTGATCTTGGACTTTCCAGAATCCAGAACTGTGAGAAATAGATGTCTATTGTTTAAACCACCCAGTCTATGGTATTTTTGTTATAGCAGCCAGACTAGACTAAGATAAGGTGTCTCTGAATGAACATGTCTGGTAAAAGCTAAACTAATAAAGATAACAAACGATATGAAAAGAACAAAGCAAAAAGATCCTAAATCAATTTGGAACCTAAAGATGATTCTTTCTACAATGGTTATTCTCTGTATAACAATTTTACTTTAAACATCATTTTAAAAGCTTTTGTGATTGCAATATAAACCAGTGTGTGTGTGTGTGTGTGTGTGTGCAGAATGCATCTCTAATTTATAAAAGAAGTAAACTGCAAAACTGCACACAGTGACAACAAATGTGACTGGACACAGCTAATTTGTCAGAAGAGAAAACTACATAGCCAAGACTTTACTGAGGCAGGAGTCGTATAGAATTTTTATCATTCAGGAAAAATAGGCAGGAATGTTAGCAACAATACTTCTACAATTTCATCATCCTTTCAAGATGGTTCTCTCACTCACCCTAACACGTAAAGCAAACTATATTCCCAACAGAATCTCTTTTTCTTTCCTTTGGCACTAGATCAAACCGAGAGTGGTCTCAATATGAGGGCATATTCTAGGCAGTGTGCCATTTAGCAATCTGAAATATAAAAACAACTTAAAAATGAGTGGGGAGAACAACATCCACAGTCAAAGCTAGAATTTGGATATTACCATCTTGCAGAAAATGGGTTTGGAAAATTTACATCGAAGAGCTTTATATGAATGTACTGTAAACCAACTGTGCCTATGTTTGCTGGCCGCAGGTCACACGGAGAGCTCTGAACACAGGACACAAGGGTTTTCCACATCCAGAACTCTTACACCGTCAATGATGTGTATCCTTGGCCTCTGGGTGGACAAATGGCAATGAGAATGAAGCTGCATTACAAACCCTATACATCAGCTGCTTCACACACAAGCCTTCTTGACCTGCTGTATAGAGAAGCTCTGTAAGGAGCAAACACTGCCTACAGTGTTAGGACAATGTCAGTTCCTAATCTGTTTTACTTGCAAAGATAGAACTGCATTTTCTTTTTCTTATGAGACTATAGATACATATGTTACAGTGTGCTCAGTATGCTTTGTTTGGCAGTGAAGTAAAATAAACATTAATACAATTCAATAAAACTGGTTGAATTTAAGTTAAAAATTAATTTCAATCTGTTTATAATATGTAACAATAAAAAGGAAAGTGATAAAACATCACTTTATATTATTAGTTAAGTGATAAATATTGTAACAAATACTTCTTAGTTTCAAAAGAGTATTATATGTTAAAATATTTCTTACATTTTTAATTAAAAACTACAAATATGTAGATGTTCAAAACTTGTGAACTGGCATACTATTTGAATAAAGACTCTGAATAAATATTACCAACAGATTCTCAAAAGGGCAACAAAATACTGCAAACATAGGTCTACATATAATAACATTTAATAATTGTTAAATAAAGATGGTAATTTAGTCAGTATCAGAGAACCTAACCTGTCCATTAGATCACTAGTCAAACTCAGTCGTGTTTTTTTTTTCTTTCTGATTTTGAGAGTACGTTTATTAAAGCTGGGGACAGGGAAACAAAGGAAGGGTTTAGGATAGAAGAAGCAACAGGAGGGAGCCCAGGCAGGGCTGCTTTGACCCTCTAGATTAGGGGTCCTCAAACTTTTTAAACAGGGGGCCAGTTCACTGTCCCTCAGACCGTTGGAGGGCTGGACTATAGTTTAAAAAAAAACAAAACTATGAACAAATTCCTATGCACACTGCACATATCTTATTTTGAAGTGAAAAAACAAAACGGGAACAAATACAATATTTGTATTTGCATGTGGCCCGCAGGCCATAGTTTGAAGACCCCTGCTCTAGATTCTAGATTTGTTTCTAGAGTCTAGAAACAAAGAAGTGAGCCACACAGGGCAGTATGGACTCACTGAGAAGTAACAGTCACAGTAACAGAAGTGAGCCAAGGCGGGGCTGCTGTTAGCGCACTGAAAGGTCAGAGAAAAGAGTGCATTACAGGCAGGTTCAGGGGTTAGCCTGGGATGAACTGCCACTGCCTGTTGCTCCTGTGGTTGCAAGTCTTGTGGAGACAGTTAGAGTTTAGGAGAGAAAAGTAAAGTTGCACGCCTCAGAGGGAAGAAAGGTGTGGGCATGCTTCAGAGAGAGACCCTCCTCCCCAAGGTCTTTTCTAAAACCAAGAAGCTAAAGAAACTCAGATTCACATTCTCAGAATACTTTAAAAGACTGAATAAGGTCTTCAGGAAGAAAAGATGCCGAACCGGTTTGGCTCAGTGGATAGAACGTCGGCCTGCGGACTCAAGGGTCCCGGGTTCAATTCCGGTCAAGGGCATGTACCCTGGTTGCGGGCACATCCCCAGTGGGGGGCGTGCAGGAGGCAGCTGATCGATCTCTCTCATCGATGTTTCTAACTCTCTATTCCTCTCCTTTCTTCTCTGTAAAAAATCAATAAAATATATTTAAAAA